ATATTCTGTTATGTGTGTATATATTACTGAAAACATTTTAGTACCGTGTTTATTTAAAGTTAGCTATTGCATGTACCGTTTGCAATACGGTTTTCAAAGACTGCCTATTACCCTTAAAATATACTGACCTATACTGACTTCCCTAATCATTTTCCTACTAAATCACTTGGTTACTTCATTAACCAATGCGTAGGCAGGATAGGTGTGAGCGTGATCATCTTTTTAAAATACGCACATTATACAGTCTCCGGTAACTCTTTCCTAGGGTTCGATATACCTCCCAGTACAACATACTACATTCCCTACCTGCTGAAAGCCATACCAAATTTAGCGAACTTGCTTTACCTAATCTACCGTTTCCCACCTTTGTTCGGCCTTCCGCCATGGAAATCGTATGCGTACGGTAGACGGCACAATGACATCCTTTGACCATAACCACCATCGCGCATCCGATGTCTCCCTGCCCTTGCCTTTATCACAGAAAACGACAAAACCTTAGCCATGAACTTCCCCTGCACAGGGCGAATAACACACGCACTCACACCTGCCGATTGGTCAGCCCCCAGGCCAATACGGTTTACGTTCTAAACCGGCCAAAAGCGTTAACGCATGATGTGCTAGGTCACTTTCAGCCTTCTCATAGGCTGCGTTCTCAATCTGAAGACAATTTATGAGGTTCTTTTGATGTATTTAAACAAATTTTGGCGTGAATGTGTTTTTTTAATTATCGCGCATCATATTCCTTGCCGTTTGGCAAGTTTTGGAGTCCCCACCCGCACAACCACCCCCCCCCCCTACCACCATTCCCGTAAGAAAGGTAGACGGGGAAAAGTTATTTTAAGTGCTGCGACACTGTATTCGCACCAAAAGTCCATGTGACATGTTGAACTCCATCTGCTTAAGCGTAGTAAATCGGCATTAATTTTTTCAACACAAACATTTACGCTGTCCTTAGAATATGAGGAAACACACTTGAGGTCATCGGCATAAATAAAAGTTTGCAAATTTCCGAGTCCAGTCGAAATATCATTGGTGTAAAGAAGTAAGAGTAGAGGACCCAGAACCGTGCCTTGAAGTACGCCACTCGTGGTCGAGCTATTACCGACCATGACTTTCTGATATCGGTTGGACAGATAGGACCTGATGAAGTCGAGTATAGGCGGCCAGATGCCGAGAGCTTCCAATTTTACTAAAAGACGCATATGGGCACCTTGTCGAAGGGTTTGCTAAGATCAAAGTAGATAACTACCACTGACTGCTGCTCATTACGAAGAGAAGTGATTAGATTAAGAAATGCCAAATGGCAAGTTTCGCAGGATTGTTCAGGTGGAAATCCATGCTGATTAGAGCTCAGAAGGTGATCAGTTGTACAGAAGTCAAGAATTTCATCGAAATTATTATTTTAAGAAGCTTTGATAGCGACGGTATTTTGTGCATGCCCCGATAGTTATTAACATCGGACCGAGATCCAGACTTGAAGACGGGAATGATAATTGACGTCTTCCGTGTTTCAGGAAAGAATCCTTTTGAAATATAAACCGAGAATAAGTGATTAAGCAATATGGGAAGGTCGGATGGGTGTTTAATAATCGAATTCGGAATCTCGTCCGTTCCTGAGCAGTGTGAGTTTTGCAAACGATTCATGTGTTTCTTAACGAGGTGTGAGGAGACATCGATTGTGCTCAATGTCCTATCTGGAAATGAAGGAAGGAAAGAGACTGGGTCGGACTCAGTGGTAAGGTGTTTTGTAAAGAAGGCACTTAAGAACTCCGCCTTGTCAGTGTCATCAATGAGGAAGATTTTTTTATCGTTAAGCTGGGGTGGAATTTCGTGACCACGCTTAGAGGAGGACCGATGACGGAAGACGCCCGCGACGGCATTGTCAGGGCTTGGATCACTGACACAAGTAATTTTCCTCGTCTGTCGCGTGCTTGGCGCATCCTTGAGGCCATTTCGAAACTCTCTGTGATTTTAAGGTGAACGGCTAAAGAACTAGCAGATAGGTCACACAACTGCCGTCTCAACTTTTTTAGTCTGTTGCGAAGGGAATGAGGAACAAGGGAATCTGAAGAATAAAACTTGAGATATATACGCGACACAAACGCTAGGATGCCCTTGGAAACATTGGACATGACATTACGAAGAATGGTTGCGTTGCTGCAGGAGAAAAAGCCACACCAGTCCAATGATTTAATATAGTTATTTATTAAGTCGTTATTTACGCAATCGTAGTTTAGATAAGTCCGAACGGTGCTGGTCTTTTTTGAAAAGGTAAACGGGAAACAACAATGAATTAATACATGGTCACTATAAA